CACCTTTGATAAAGTACTCACTCTCACCAGTATCTTCCCTCAGGAGCAACGAGGACGGCTGCGGCTCGAACACCAAGAGCAGTGGTACCCAAAACATCAATCAAATATCACTGCTAACTGGCGGCCATGTGCTTGGGCGAAGCAGTTCCTCGCCGAAGCCCTGCCGAACGAAGAGGCTGTTGTTTACGTAGACACGGATCTGGTGTTTCTCGGTCCACCGGAGGAAATGTGGGACCTGTTCAAGGTCATGGACACGCAGCAAGTGGTTGCTCTCTCCCCAGAACCCAAGTATAGCGTGGAGACTCCAAGGAGAAAGTTCGCTGGGAGAGCGGGACTTAACACGGGCGTGATGGTGGCCAACCTAACGCGCCAGAGATCACTCCTTGGAAGCGGCCTGGGCACTGCTTTGCTGAATTCGGGACTCCTGAATCATAATTACCGCCATGACCAGGATGTTCTTAACCACTTTCTCGTGGATAGACCGCACTTGTTTAAGGAAGTCTCGGCACGCTGGAATTTCATGATATCCTCGTGCCACACAGCCGCCCCGCCATGCCCGGATTGTCAACGTTTGGGAGTCTTGGTCTTACATGGGGCTGACGTCTCCTTCTACCGGCTACTTGAAGGACTGTTCCTGGTAAGTTTCGTCTTCTATTAACAAGACAAATGAACAGTGACAACTATATTTGATTGCATGAATATATAGAGGTAGATATGTAGATAGATGTATGGATAGATAGATAAAGAAAGACACATATATGCGTTTATGTATTTCTTTTTACATATAAGAATTATACATATGCACATTCAATAGATTCATCCAGGTTATTTTTTTCTCATTTAAGGTCACATACGGAGTACTCAGCCAGCTCTCCTTAACAGAACCCCCAACCAGCGTACTAAGCAGACTGCGTTCCAGATTGGCTCAGCTGGACTCGATGAAAATCACTGGTACTGCTTGTGCTAATCAGTCGATGCTCGCCCCTTCCTTCACGTTAGGTCTTACTCATCTCACAACTAAAGATACAGCTAGAGGAACATGAGAGAATTGCACACGCACGCACGCACCCACCCACCTACGCGCGCGCACACACACACACACACACACACACACACACACACACACACACACACACACACACACACACACACACACACACACACACACACACACACACACACACAACACACGGATAGATAGATAGGTTAATTTCCGAACACATTTGGAATGTTCACAATTTGTAAATACATGTTGTGAATAATACTAATGATATCAAGCTAAAAAATCTAACAAACTGGAAAAAAACGACTTGAGTCTATCTGATTCCCTTCCAACATGTTACTGACTTAGGTGAATTTACTATCTCGCACACAGACATAGAATATACACAAGTTTACAATTTATTGTACGTCTCCAATATTCCTGAAACGTATGGAAGCAAGACAAAACCGTATTAGACTCCTGCAAATCAGATATTAAACTTGTTCCTCATGATAACTAAATATGGAGATATGCCACGCCAACTGTTCATTTTAAAACACTGTAACAGATCACCATCTTACTTTGTAGCGAAACTTGAAAGAATAAAACGATATTGGAAATTATTATTACTCTCAATAACCCATTTCATTAAACTCGCACACAAGAGCATACAGTTATGCGTTCTTTCTCTATATTTTAGAATCCTATTTGAGATGAGAATCCTATTCAGATAACGCTCCTAACAAGGATAAGCGGCGCATTTCACGTGGCTCTTCCCCCGGATACCTGTATGGTTCCTTATGACTGAGGAAAATGAGGTAAAATGACCAGGAAAACAAGGAGAAAAATTATTGGCGTTCTCTCGTTGTCATATCGCCTTTACCTTATTCAAAGGGTTGAGACTAACATTAACACGAGCGTCTTATGCGTTATGGATATATTGTCAACTGCAGTGCGTAGAATATAGTTTGCATGTAGGACAGTTCGTTATACCGAAAACACAGCAATGAAGTTTTTCTTTCGGTGCTTAGTTGTGGCACTGGTGTTTGCATTCGCTGGCTACCTTGCACGATTATCTCGAATGACAAACATTTCCAATGAAGTTTTTGTTCCACCAGCAACCCAAGAGTCCAGTCCGTCCGTGAAATCTCCGCTGGTGATATCAGTGTGTGAATCTCCGAATACCGATGATACTGATGACAGTCTCGGGTTCACCGACGAGGAGACCGATGCAACTTATACTAACAGGTTACGCGGTTCATGGGCTAGACAGCGCTCACAGATGACAGCGATGTTTAAAACGCTCCTGTATTTTAGCAAAGCTCCGATTTGGCGCATATTAGTTCTCACAGACACGATGGCCACCTTCAAAAAAGTTGTGAACATAACCAGTGCGTTTCCACGACATCAGAAGGAGCGGCTGCGTTTCGAACGCCGAGAGCAATGGTTCCCACATGGTTATCCTGAAATCACAAATAACTGGCGACCTTGTGCTTGGGCAAAACAGTTTTTAGCCGA